TCTATATCATTTATGTAAATTAGGAACAAAAGTGGTCCTAAAATTGAACCCTGCGGTTAAAGTACAAGTCAAATGTTTCATTCTATATGTTTTTGTTTCTCACATTTGCTGTTGCAATATGCACTTTACATTTGCACAAAGAAATGCACCAGACCTACATCCCTCGTTGCAGATGACGAAGCATCCAAATATAGTTTATGCAACTGGTAGTTGAAGTGTGGAACAACTTCATTCAAGACTGATACTTGGTTAAAGGCTGTTAATGCCTATTAACTAAATTTGGCCTGTTTAATATTTTAGTAGTTATATTATTTCAATACTGGGTGTCAGCATACGTTACTGATCTGTTCCTGGGTCCTCCTGAGTCTCTGGAGCTCCGGGGTGTCCGAGACGATGCTAAATCCTCTTCCCTTGCTCTCCTCAAAGTCCTTCTTGTACTTCACCTGCAGAAAAAGTCAGGGATCAGACTTCAGACTCCAGACTCAGACACTTTCACCATATCGCTCATGTTAAATGGAACAGCTGGTCCTGCAGTCAGACGCTGGGCAGACAGTGACACAAGGGACCCTCAGAATCACACTTATGCATCATCTTTCTGTACTCATCCAAAAGGAAATCAAACTGGTTACCATACATGACTCACTGTGGCAATGTAAACTGCTACCTGATCTGTGAAGGAAGGGCTCAATGAAAATGGTGTGAAATGTACGGTCCGGGTTTGAGGTGAGCCTGAAGACTGTCATGGGAAGCATGGAGGAAAACAAGGGCATCGCAAGGTAATCAGCCACACACTATGGGGAATTCTAACATACTTCCATATTTACTCAGCTTAAAATCTCTGAAGACTAATAAAGAACAAAACAGCAGTAGTTGACAGGGGAGTAGGAACATCTGTGCGGGGAATAGCACACATGACAAGCTGCTAGGAAAGAAAATGAGAATTATATGCAAATGTTGACATTCTTTCATATTCTGAAAGACCCCATAATTCTGGATCACTTTGACGGGCTTATAACTCAGAAACTCCTTTGAAGTACTGCTTGCATAAACCGTTACATAAACTACTGTGGGACATCTGATGACTACCCAGCTGAAAGAGGGAATATACACACTCTTATTCTGTGTTGTGCTGAAGGCAGACAGTCCTGTAGCTGACTGATGCTGTCTAAGGCTGGCTTCAGCTACACGCTAGTCCCAAACAGTGGCGGAACAACTGTATACTGGGCCCTGGGGTAAAAATGGAGCATGCCCCCCCCCCTTCCAAATTCACTCCTAGGGCCTACCTACGGCAGTTGCAGCAGTTGCAGATTTGCAGATCATGAAAATTTAAGTAACCTCCAAATATCATACCCATCATGCACTGCAGTAGTTAGATAAAAAAAAAATCCACAAACATGCTTTTTCCATTAAATACTTGCCTTGACAACATACATGAACTACAAAACATTACTGACTATTACATTTCAAACTTGTTTTAAGTATTGTACCAAATATTTTTTGTGTTATGACTCCCACCATAATGAAACTGTATACATAAAAATGAGATATAAAACATGTCACAGGTTCATATAATATTCATGAGATTTGCAGTTGGAGGAGGGCACTGCAAGAGGACCTGTACTTCCCACTAGCAGAGAACAGGTAGTTAAATACTGTATTTATGCACACAGCATGTAAAAGTATTGAGTTGAGTACACAAGTCTGATCAGGAGTCCTGCAGGGGCATTTCTGAGCTGAGTAATCTCCCTGCATGACTCTGAGAAAATCCAGATGAGCAAATAAATAGAATTTGCATGTCACATATGAGAAAAGTTTTACTTAAAAAACAGAGTTCAGCTAATTTTCTAAATAACACTCAGGAACGAAAAATAAAAATATAATTCAATCAATTACCGATACAATCCAACAAAAAAATGTTAGCCAAACCGTTTCCTTAAAAAGTGAATGATAAAACATCCATCTTTTGTAAGCACTTATCCAGTGTGGGGGTAAAGGACTGCCCAGACCCCAGCTAACACAAGATGCCAGCCGCTCACAAACACTCGCTACGGGACATTTAGAGATGCCGTGTTTTTGGACCGTGTGAGGAATCCAGGGCACCGGGAGGCAACCCGACATGGAAGCAGAGCAAATGTGAGAACTCCACACACACCGAGCTAGGGGGAGGAACCCAACCCACCACCCTGGAGGTGTGAAACCACAAGGCTGCCCACGGAGCTATCATAAATTACAAACACACCCACATCGTTCATTCACTAAGACAGTGGTTCCCAAACTGGGGGGCGCGGTATTGCGTGGGGGAGCACCAATGGGATAGCCTCAGGGGCATGTGCCACCTTAAAATAATCTCTTCACAGACTGGACGATTAAACAAATAAATCAGAAATAAACCACTAACTTACGTGTACTATTAGAGAATTTATGTAATTTAGTTAAACTTTATTTCACCAGGTAAATTAACTGAAAACCAGTTCTCACTGCTTTACGTTATATTCGGGAGAAATAGCAGATAACGCATCGGAACTTCCTGGGATACAAACGTCATGTTCTTCAGCCAATAAGGGCACGGAGGCTGTTGCAGTTTGTTCAGCCGTCTGATAGGTACTGTACGATCTGTGTAAGTCGTCTTGCTCTTGCAAGGTTTTTGTACCATGTGACATGGTGACGCGTGACGACGTTTTGCAGCGCCGGTCAAAAAATCTAACCATATCATGAAAAACGAGGTTTAAATTTTTCTACATGAAATGCAGGGAGACTATCAATTAATGGGTATGATTTAGTGTTGTCTTGTGCTATAGTATAGGCTGAAACTTGCGGTTATCATTAAAAACAAAATGCGGTAATCGTAAGACAAACTTTAATTTGTGTACGCCAATGAATATTAACAGGAATGTTAAATCAGCATTAGCATAATTTCAAACTTATGCTGGACTTTTATTTTTAATTGATTGCTCTTTTTTCTCCCACAGTGGTGAAATTGCACCATTTGTATTTTGTAATTGCATTTGTTTAGCTCAATTAGAAAAGGGAGTTGTATTTCAAATAAAGTTTGAATCTGAACCTGTGTAGTTTGAATGGGGGGGGGGGCTCAATAATGTTCCTATCTAGAAAAGGGGGGCCCTGCAGAGAAAGTATGGGGACCACTGCACTAAGACATGGTGTAGGTATGTTACAAAAAAAATGAGACAGTAAAATTAAGACCTGCAAATGTTTTCATCAGGGAGAGTGTAAAGAAACATAAATTTTGACACCAAAACCACCCCTCTATGTTCAGTATTAAGGAAGTTATGACAGTTTTAATATTCGGGGAATGGCTAATTTCCATGTATTGTCTTTGCATTAGGATAAAACAAAAGCTGTGATCAACAAAAGTGAATGTTCAATAACTTCCTTGTGGGACGAGATAACTGAATGAAACTTTCAACACATACAGAGAAAGTTAAAGAGAATCAGATAAAACACTAAACAATTAAGTTGGATATCTATTTCTCCTTTTAATTAGTTAATTAGTGTGACGGACAAGGCTAAAGATGCAAAAACGCAGTGACCGCCATGACACTCAGTCAATCAGACAAGCGATCTTCGGAACGGTAAATAACTGTCTCGGATTCATTTGATTTTGATGAAACTTCACCAGTTAACAGAAAAAACAATAGAAAGAGCGTCCAATTAGCTTTTGTTATTGTCCAAAGCATAGATTTTGGTTTAGAACAGGTTGAACTTGATGAAAATTTTCGGCGCAAGCAAAAATGACAAATCCTTGATCAAATTGAAAAATTCGAATTCGAGGCTGATGAGGGGAATCCTAAGTATGTCATAACAAGGAATCTCGCAGAAATAGCCGATCACAGACAGCGCACTGCCCATTTTACCTTGGGGTTACCCTGTGATGCACCTATATCGCACAGCAGTGGCGATCATAGAAAATGGCGGCCGGGATTCCCGTGGATTGTAACATACCTACATGGTGAGGCAGCTGATCCAGTATGTAACCATCTTACAAACTTCCCATGCTCAGCAAACACCTAGACAAGCTTTTGACCTAGACTGTCAAAAAGAAGTTGGTAGGGAACACCTACATCAAGTTTAACATATATTTTGCTGATGCAATTTAAAACCCAGACTGATTCAACAGGTATTGTTTGAGGGTAATTTCCCTCCATCTTCTCCAGCTCAGAGTTAAGGCCCATTTTGCAGCATGAGGTGCTTTAAAGTATTTCTGTCCTCCAGTCAAGCCCCCGGTTCCGGGGGCTGGGGGTATGCAAGGTCTCCACTCTCATTGGCGGTGACTCATTCCGCCGCCGTGGTAATAATAATAATAAATAATAAATTAAATTTATAATGCACTTTACATTTTACAGAGAAAATGTCAAAGTGCATACAGACAATGAGAGAACATTACGTTAAAAACAGCATTAAAAAGAGGAATAAAACATTTTAACAGTTAAGCAATCATTAAAAACATTGGTTAAAAAGAAACGTTTTCAGGTTTTTTTTAAAACATGTCACAGTCTGTGGAGCCCTCAGATGAAGAGGTAGGGCATTCCACAGCCGTGGGCCAGCGCAGGAAAAGGCTCTATCTCCAGTGGTACGGGAGCGAGTCCTGGGAAGGAGGAGAAGGTGTGTGTTGGTGGAGCGGAGAGTGCGTGGGTGACAGTGGGGAGTGAGAAGTTCTTTTAAGTATACAGGCGCATTACCATGCAGACATTGGAAGGTAAACAGGGAGATTTTGTAGGTGATCCAGGCAGAAACGGGAAGCCAGTGAAGGGAACGGAGCACGGGGGTGATGTGCTCGTGTTTCCTCACTCTCATCAGGACCCTGGCAGTGCAGTTCTGAACATACTGAAGTTTTTGTATGTTTTTGCCAGGAATCCCGATGAGAAGCACGTTACAGTAATCCAGTCTGGAGGAGACAAAGGCATGCACTAGTTTTTCTGCATCAGAAAGGGAAAGTGTAGGCCGGAGTTTAGCAATATTTCTAAGATGGAAAAAGGAGATTTTACAAATGTGCTTGATATGGCTTTCAAAAGTAAGTTGAGAGACAGGCGGTGAGTGTGGGGGGAGTGGGGGGTGTAGATATCAAAGGGGCTGATGAAGTGAAAGGGGCCTCAGATGCATTGCTACCCAGCTTCAAGTAGAGCTGGGTATCATCAGCGTAGGAGTGGAATGAGACCCCGCAGCTGCTGATGATGCGCCCAAGTGGAGCCATGTACAGATTAAAAAGAATGGGCCTCAATACTGATCCCTGAGGAACACCACAATTGACAGGATGGCTCAATGATTTAGCGTGTCCAATGGAGACAAACTCAGATCTGTCTGTTAGGTATGACTTAAACCAATCCAGGGCAATGCCAGTGAACCCTGCTAGGTGTTGTAAACGGTGGAAGAGGATGTCATGGTCAACTGTATCGAAGGCTGCTGACAGATCCAGAAGGACGAGGAGAGAAGAGGAGCCATGGTCTGCAGTGATCAATAGGTCATTTGTGACCCAGATCAAAGCTGTTTCGGTGCTGTGTGCAGAGCGGAAGCCAGATTGAAATTTGTCCAGAATTTTGTTGTCGTGTAGGTGTCTTTGAAGATGAACTTAAACCACTTTTTCCAGAACTTTCGAAAGGAAGGGGAGAAACCCCTTGTCACTGCACTTCACCAACATGCACTCATGAGCATTTTCATCCAGTCATGCTGGGGGAAGAAAAATCAATCACTGTGGCCAAGACCAAGGACAACAATGTGCACTAACTAAACACTGATGAAGCCAAATCCCTATTTTCATCATATTTACATACACGGCTAAATGAATTCATATAAGTCATTTAATAGTTTTGGATGGAATCAAAATTCAGTTCAAACGTTTCTGTGCTCTGAAACCATAAAGGCAGCCAAAATGCTTCATTATTGATGATTTTGTGTATACAAATTGAGTACTTCTGTTAACAATTCTGGACATATATCAAAGGCAGAGGCATGGATACCCTGGCAGATTCATGGGGCCCAGCACTTTACAGGGACACTTGAATCCCTAAAATGTAACTGTGGGCAAGAGGGGGGGGCCGAGGTAACATTTTGTCAGGGAGTGCAAAATTTCTAGCTACGTCCATGATCGAAGGTCAGCTACACAGGTAAGATACACCAAAAATGGTTTTTAATAGCACTGGTCTACGTATCTGCAGAAGGGAGAGCTGTGTTTGTCTGAAAATGATTGTAAACCCAGTTTTGTGTTTAGCTCACTTCATACATAAGAACATAAGAAATAAGATAATCATAAGAGGCTCTGAAACACGCCTGGGCTTTAATGAGAAGAAGTGTCCATCCCTTAAATTTACCCTCAAGTTCTCTTCTCCATTCACAGAGCATAACTTTAGCATTTAAATGTGTCCCAAAGGCCTGGAGCCACATCCACCGCCTGCCATTAGTACGAGACTCAGACACGCAATTCCCCGATGAGTCACACGGGTATCATTTCAAGTCCCGTTAAGGCACTTTACTTTATCCTCACGCTTTTCCGATTACACACTGGGCGATAATCACATCCCTTCCCTGACCCATTTTCGAAAATTCAACTGGCAATAATTCCTCTCACATCTTCCCCCCATAAATCTCCGGACTACTGAAGGATTAATAGAGATGTAACTACCTCCAGCACTCATGAGGGTCTTCTCGAGTCCATGATGCCTCATTACAATGGCAGAGAAACCAGTAAACAGCAAAAGCTGGGAAAAAAAAATTCAAAGCAAGACTGCTGTATCACAGGCGGTAGAGCCAAGGTTAAATAAATGTTATGGTTTTCCTGATTACCTGGGCTATGCAAACTGTCAATCTGTGAAAGGCAAGTCTAAAAGACCCCATTCTCCAGTGTCCACCCAGAATCATGCAATTAAGTTCAACAAAGGTCCAGGAGAACCTTTGTCTTCCACTTCCAATTACCACTGAAAGTCTGTGTTTACAGACCTGCAAATCAGCGTGACGTGTTAACATTTAATCACAGCTCTCCAAGGTAAATCGAGCTTTAAGACTTTACAAGGATTCGTGAAATCTCTATTTTCTATTTAATGACAATTTTTAAACAGCAAACAGTCAGTCAAATATCTGATAATATTTTTTACAACTACATTCTTTTTTGGATGATGAAATTAATGGAAATAACATCTGATTTTTTAAACCTTTACAATAGGTTGTAAAGTAAGTGTAACTCAGGAAATGTAAGTGAACTCAGCAAACCTCTTTTTAACACGGCTAACCTCTTTTTAACTCAGCTAACCTTTTTTAACTCTGCTAACCTCTTTTTAACTCAGCTAACCTCTTTTTAACTCGGCTAACCTCTTTTTAACACGGCTAACCTCTTATCGAATGACAGGACAGGGGTGTCACGTACAGCCCTGCTTTAATTTCTGAATGCTCTGCTGTGTTTATCCTGCTGTCAGTAAGGTATTGACCTCTTGGTCAATAACTGGAACCTACCATGACAACCACAAGGAAAGACCAAGCAGAGGAGCCTTTGCTGAAGGGAGAGCTGGACTTGGAGGGCAGAGCAGATCTACCGTCATCCGGAAATAAACACATCATTCTACAAAAGGCCATCGGTGCCTTATTGGAGCAAACACACAATCGACTCCTTTAACATACACTGAAACGGAAGTAGTCAAGGGGGAAATGATCTGAGAAATGTGGAGAGTTTTGAGGAACACTACAGCTTACGGAATTTAAAAAACCTAACAAAAATATAGCTAAATTAATTCTAGAGTTGCTAATTCTTTTCAAAAACCCTGAGCGTGACACCCAGTCTCCAGGAAGCCACTTCTTACTGAAGAGCAAAATCAAACTTGGAGAATCATTCATTTCTCTCTACTGAATCCTTCATTATTACCATTGAAATTCATTTTCTGGACTGACTCCTTCAGCCGAGTAATTATAGAAACAAGGTAAACAAACAGGGGAGCAAAAGTATGAGACCCACAGGCCAAATACACACGGGTGTTTAATGCTCAGATCCTGCGGGCTGTAACAGACAGATCGGTTGGTTAAAAAGAAGGAACAACAGCCACCAGATTCTAACTGGTGGCAGGAGAATTCCTCAAAAGGGGGAACGAGACCCTCTAAAACAAAAAGAGAGACAGCGAGAGGGACTGAGGGATAAGCAAAGATCTCCAGTCACTGATCTATTGTCTTCTATCAGAGTACAAGCATCACACAATCTGCCCAAAGTGTCCCCAGGGTACATAGAGCTAGGATGTAAATATTTAGTAGGAAATCCCAGCATGACAAACTGCTGGACCGGAGGCACCTGCATGTAACTTTAAAAATGCTACAAAAATCAAATGTATAATCTAAGTTTTGATATAGCCTCTAGCAGGGATATATCGATAGGGCTGTTTTAGCGGGGTTTTAGTTTAAATAGTGTGTTTTCATTCATTTTTATTAAAATCAGACCCCCCCCCGAGTAAAGGTGTACCCACCCCTTTTCATAAATCTCCATTGACACTAGGGCGCTATGTCTTACACATCCCAACATGAATATGGAAATCAAAGGAGGAGTGACAAAGGGACCTGGGGGCACGCTTTGGGACCTGGGGGCGTGGCCAGGATGATGCCCAGCATGGCCAGAGAAGGACAGACGGACGGAGGGTTCTAACTTGGCCCCAACCCCAGGACCGCCGCTCCTGATCCGTCCTGGCCAAATTGCGAGGAACGGCCCCCCCACCGGGGGCACGTCAGCGCGATGCCGCTCACGGGCGGGTGGAGTCAGCGGGGTCCTGCGGGAGACTGCAGCGCCAGCAGCTGCCTCGCTCTACGTCTGCCGGAGTGGCAGCCTGCCGCCCCTGTAGCGCTGGCACGCCGCGTCACCATCAGCCGGTCTCGTTTCCATCGAGCCCAAACAGATCAGCACCCGCTCCGCTCTCAAAACGACGTGCGTGGACAAAAACAAACAGCATAGCTGATATTTCACGCAGGTCAATGTGCCTGTTGTCCATCTCAAGGAAAAGGAGGGAATTCAAAAAATAATTGTAAATAACGTTTCCTCTTCTCGTGTTTCTGCTTTGCTTTGAAAACGCATGCAAAGAAAAATGCCAGTTTAGTCTATTTTTCTCTACTAGTGAAGGTCCAGCATACAGGGCAGCACTAATCAGTTGTCTTACACACATCCTATTTTAATTCCCATCCTTTGACAGGATCATGGACGGCACTGAAGAGTGATTTCGGGGGGGAAAATAAAAATAACATGAAATGGCATTGAGAATTAGCATTTTATTATGATTTTATGCTGTTTGTTGACTATAAAGAGTTAGTTCTAGTCACACAGTCTAGACACTACAAACGCAAACCAAACACATATATCAAGAAAGAGCTTTATTGGCAAAAACATCAGAAATACTTATCAGCTAAGAGCTTAAAAATTGACAAAACAAAGGAGTAGTGCTGTACTACAAGTGTTTATGAAATAATTATATTCAGTCAAGGCATAATAAGAATTTTGTACTCAACTTACTTAAATGGATATTGCTACTGTCAGAATGAAAAGAAGATCTTGTTAGAATGAACGATAACAGAGGAATGGCGGTAGGCCAAAAATCTCAGAAAAACCCCAAAGGAGTAGGAAAAGTGGCCACGAGGATTATGGGTTATGTAAACTGGATCTGTTTTGATGTGGGGGCGCTGTTACCTGGCTCTGCAGCTCGCTCTGTTGTTTCAGCCGCAGGTTCTCCGGGGTGTCGGCCACAATGGTGAAGGACTGCTTTGGGTAGTGCCTGGGCACAGGGAACACGGAAAACGGCATGAAGGGCTGGCCGTCACGTCACACAGCAGAGTGCACATGGTCTGCAGAGTCACTGGTAGTGGGGCCAACAAGCATTTAGCGCAACACAATAGCTTAAAAATAATCCTGATTAAACATGGTGAAACACAATCATCAGAAAGTTCAGGAGTGATCTCACAGTTCTATCTAATAAAGGCTCGTTTAAACAAAGGAGGCATTGAAAGGCTGGAGCAAGACTCCAGCTCTGAAGGCGCCGCATGCGTCTGCTGGTGCCCTCGTTACGTAACGTGGACGAAGGGGGGAAAACGGGATGGCATGAACACACAATGGCGGAGCAGCGAAGCACTCCCTGTGAGCACAGAGCAGGGGAGGCATTTGGCTCAGGGTCTGTGCCCTGCTCTCCATCATCCCTCATCTTTCAAAGCTCCCCCATATCGGTTACCGACTTCAGCTCCCTTGGATTCATTAGGTCTCACCTATCTGATGGTTCCTTCAGTTCTCTTCAGCTCCCATTTTTTCAGCACACTTCTTCCTGTTACCTCCAATACCCTCATTGGCTCCCACATCTTCATTTGCTCCCTCATTTTGGTTACTTCCTTTGTCTTTGCTGTTTCCATTCTTGCCAGGAATACTTCTGTAGCTGCCAAGAGGAGCCCCACATTCCTGGATGCTCAATGGACTCTTGACAGGGGGGCAGCACCCCTTTTTCTGTTGGGCATATTGCTTCGAAATGAACGAGCTGGACGTACAGCATGGAACTGGGATTCGGTCACAATGACATGTTAATTTTACCTTGCACCTTTGACAGAGATCTGAACTTGTCAAGAAGTCAAGTTAGACAATCACTATTTATACCATTCTTATCCTGAAGAATCTTTGTCATGCAATATGACTTATAAAACATGAATTCATTCCATTTATATGCAATTAGTTTCATACTCATTTTGGTAGTTTTACCATTAACTGCATTAGCATTAAGATAGGAGGTTAGGATGCACACAGGTAGCCCATGCTAGGTAAGTGGTTGTGGGGACATGTGCGGGTTAAAGCCAGCCTGCTGGTAGGAGGGAACATTCGAACCACTGAAGAGACCGTCCAGACCGTGCCGGGATTCATGGGTGCTGGAAAGCCCTGAGATTGTGGCTGGTACAGACTGACCCAGACCCTGGGCATATTTTATGTGCCTTTTTTCATCACAGTATTTCCCTGGCTGCTTTGCCAGCATGCAGGAACGTGTGCCCGGTCTCTAGAAAACACCGTCTGTTTTCTTTTCTCCTCTGACCTGAACACAGATGAACAAAACGACCGTCACTGGCTGGTGAAAGTCGACACAGTTCGAGTACAAAATATGGCTGCTAGTGAGCTAGCGAAACACCAGCATAAACACTGTAACAACACATAACTAAACATGCCCAGTTACACAGATGGGTGAAACTCTCTTCCTGCAGTATGCAAAGACAAATAACAGTACAATACAAAATGTCCAGAAATCTGTTCCTTTTTAAAATTATTATTTAATTTGAACCAAGCAGGCATCTCTATTTACTTTAATAATCATTAATGCAGGTTTCCGCAGTTCCAGTCCCAGGGGGTCAGTCTGCAGCACAGTTTGCATATTTCCCTGCTCAAACACACCTGCTAAACCTGATAATTAGCTGATGAGCTGAATTTGGTGGGTTTGAGTAGGGAAATCTGCAAACTGTGTTGCATACTTGCCCTCCAGGACTGGAACTGGGGAACCCTGCATTAGCAGATAAATTCTCTTTGTCACCAATAATAGGATGGTTATTGTTAGCTCACATGGAAAAGGGAGGACCAGAAGCTGACCGCTGGCCAACCAGTGAATGACCTGCCGAGCCCCTTCCCCATCCATCCACTGTCCTGGGAAATGTGCTCCCTGTGGGCTATCAAAGTGAACTCATCCCCTATAAACCCGAGGCCCAACACGGGTTTCCACAAACTCGGTCTGAGAAACTGGAGCCAGCTTGACCATCTCAGAGATGGGCAGCAACGGTCAGGGCCTCTAGGTTCCGCCCATTGATAAAAACCATCGGGGAACCACCTCCATCACTCAGTGCACCCTCCGGATGTTATCTCCCACAACCTCCTACATGGAGAACACGCTGATATTCGAAGGGGGAGACAAGGCCGGATACTCACAATTTCAATGGCTGGGTGCCTTGTGAAACACAGCTGGGATTTTTCTTAACATAGTATCCATGCTCTTCCCAGCTCTGTAGGAATCATGACACCTAAGCAGGACAATTTGCAGACAGAGCTGATTTGGTGACGCCCCAAAGTGTTTAAGACTCAAGACCTTTCTGAGTCTGTTGCCATGATACCATGCCATGATCTTGGCTCCTGCCAATGTCTCACAATATTATCCATAAAAAATGTATTTTACTGTAGATTACACATTCTTCTACATTTTGTTAAACATCCATCACTATAAATGTCTTATTAGTAAAAGTGATATTATTCAAAACCATTAAAAGGCCTTAATTGTTTAATTTTGGTAATTACAAATCCACTATATAACGAAACTATTCAGCTAGAAATGCTGTCAAGCAGAAATCTTGTAAACAAAGACACACTGTGTTTTAACTCAGTCAGGAAACGTTCAGCCCTCCTGAAGGAATCGGAGGCTTCAGCCTGCTGCCCTGACAAATCGATTAACAAGCGATTCATCGAGTCCTCTTATGGGTTACCCTGCAGGCCAAGCTGATGCTGCCAGTGTGTTTTCGCAGGAAGGGGGAGACCTTGTCGCTAGGACCAATAGTGAACCACTAGGACTGGTCAATGACACAAGAGAAAAGTCTAGATTAAAGCTTGGCCACGTAACTGAGGTCCATACTCCGGTCACAGCCACCAAAGTCAGACCTCTACCCAGCTAGTTTTCATCCTCTGGCTTATAGTTACACACCAGCACCATGAGCAAGCAGTTTCCAGTAGCAACCTTGGACGCTCCAGTCACCCCCGGTAACCTAATCCCTGCCAACAATGGCCCTACTCTGTGGGACAGCATCCACTTGCCGAGAAGCCAAGGTGTCTCTTCCCTGCCCAAAATGAGCCACACAAACAAGCATTTATTCATGGATCAACACAGTGAGCTCTTTTTTTTAACGGCCTAACTTCCTCTCCACACACAGTCATGTTTATTTTGTTTCATTCTCATTTCAGACCCCTGAACCTTGTTCCCCCCCTTTCGAGGCCATTAGCATTGTTGCATGGTCTTCCAGTTGAGCCAAGGAAATATCAAAAGGCAAGAAAGAAGTCTTTTGAAGTCATCTGAAAAAGAAACTCCCTCTGAAAAGGACAGGAATAACCAGGGGAGGCTGACGGAGGGATGGAGGGCAGAGGGTTCCTCCTTTCATCTGAAAAAGAGGAGACCGAAGCAAATGGTCGGCCACGGAGCCCCTTCCTGGCAAGGACTTTCTCTAGGAAGGTTCTTGTTTCTTTCCTTTCTTTTTCTTTTTTTTTGAATAGAGTGAGCTGGAGGTGTGGGGTAATAGCTGAGCAAGAGGAGCTGGTGTTTACTAAGTAGTACTTGACTTTATCTTGGGTGACAGTCATCTACATGGTTCATGTTCAAGGACACGGGCCAGAGTCAGGTAGGTCTGTCACACTGGTTTTCCTCTTCCGTCGGGTATACAGTCATGTGCCGCATAACGACATTTCAATGACGGACCGCATATACGACAGTGGTCCCATAACATTATATTGGAGCTGAAAAATTCCTATCGCCAAGCAACATCATAGCCTTTGTAATGCTGTAGTGCAACGCATTACTGATATGTTTGTGGTGATGCTGGTGTAAACAAACCCATTGTGCTGCCAGTCGTATAAAAATATTTACAATTTATTTGTACAATATGTACAATTTATATATTTACATAATACCTGATCTTGATAATAAACAACTATGTTACTGTATTCACTACTCACAGCCTAGGTGAGTAGTAGGCTATAGCATCTAGGTTTGTATAAGTACACTCTGATGTTCTCACAATGGCAAAATCGCCCAGTGATGCATTTCTCAGAACATATCCCTGTCATTAAGAGATGCGTGACTGTACAACTTGTCTGGGAACACTTCCTCTCAGCCTGCAGAGGATCTTGGTTCGCTGGAATCCCAGCTCGCCGCTAACCGACGTTTAGCTACATATAATTATATCTCATATTTAGCATGTAGCTTTGGTCATTAACAGAGGAGTCTATCGCCGTTGGTTGCCTACTTAATTGATTGTTGGCCGGTTTTAAAGAGGAGGAAATTGGTGGCCAAAGGTGCTCTCTGGACAGAAATAGGAAACCCCATGGGGACCATGCGCATGGCCCGTTACAGGGCATGACGGCAGTTTGTTTGCAGCACAGCAAGCAGCTCCCCACGCAAAGGTCACATTGTCCCCAGCTCCTGGGTGGATGACATGGAAGACCCAGTCATGGCATCACCCATACAGGGGTGAGAAAACTCAGAGATCATACCTGGCTCCAAATCAGAAAAAGGCCATGTTAAATGCAAGTGAGTGTTGTCATGGCGACACAAATGTAGGAGTAGACCTGAACTGCTTCCTTTCTTGACCACCTCCACGGTCTACATGCTTCAGACACCTTGCCGTGACTCAGTTTCCTTTCTTTTTCACTCTTTGGATAGACCTTTGGCTCAGAGTGAAGATTAGACTGTTTAACGCAAACTGTAAATAAGGGCACTGATAACATTCATCAGCATAGCTACCAATAAATGAACTGGTTCTTACTGCAACAGAACTGTGCGTCGGTTCTGTTTGGTACATGCGCTTCCCATACAGGCCTGGCCCTGCTTCTTTTTTTCCCATCTAATCGCCCCCAGTGCTTCCCACAGATACTGGCAAAGAAACTACACACAAGGTCCCTGGGACGCCATTCCCCTTCTTAGAGGGCCTTATCTGATTGGTCTGCTGGGAAGGAGTGCCAGAAGGGGGACCAATAATAAAATGGCAACCCCTTTGCACGCGTGTATCAGCAGGAGGTGCCATTCCTGCATCAGTTTGAGACTAGCTTAATGATCACAAGTAGATTGTGGAGTTCGGCAATTGGATGGTAAACCTGTAGGAGCTACAGCTCAGTAATCAATTAATAACCCCGCAGGAAATGGCAACGTGTCGGACATTCTTTGTATAGATTCGCCGTAGTTAAGGAATTCGAGTTGTGTGTTTTTTTTCAGTATGGCCTAGACTGCAGGGGGGCTTTCATTTCTTTAATGTATGATCAGTCAACAGCTCGGCTTTATATGCATTTGTCAGTTGCTTCAAAACTGCATAGACTGTCAGCATTGTAAGTGTGTTCAGCGAGGCACCTCCAGTGCACGGTTCCATGGCTTTAGCTACATATTCGATCAGCCAACCACCCCCCCACCAGACTATGGCACTATCAGGGACACCCATCGTGCCTGATTCTGAGGAGTGCTGCCTTTTGAACCTTAAAAATCTAAAAGCAGAGCCGGTCATTTTTATATTAACATGGCTCTATTGTTAAATGGGGAGAGGGGGGCACCGGGGATAAAATAACAGCCTGCTGAAACTAAACTGCAAGTTAAGCAGGCCTGGGGAGACAGCAAGGGATGATGTGAGTTATGGCCTTATGGAGCCAGGTGTTTTAATTAATGCACAGACAGGGCACCAAAGCCTGAATGCTGGGGATGTTCCAAGGATAAAATCAGATAACCTGGGGCGGAGGGGGGCAAAGAGCTACAACTGTTGTACTGTAGTGAATTCAACAGGGATATCCGCTGCACCTGACCATTACATAACCAGGAATTCGCTAACTGGATCACACTACTACCCCAGCCGGTCAGGCCTGCAAGTTATACAGGGCGTTTGCCAAAGCGGCAGAGAGCGTACGTATGAGCGTGGTAGCGGGACGGACATGCTCCTCATAGACAGGCGATTAAAGTCCCGCACCTCCATTGTTTAACGACAGGGCCGGTGTTATTCTGTGTTTAAGGGGCTTCCTGATGGGGAAGCAGTGAGAGGTCACACCCAGTGTCATCCAGTGACAGGGTGTCCAGCAAACACCCAGAGCTATGCCCATGCAACACTGAACCATCATCTGAATGAATAAATGAATGACATTTATATGGCACTTTACAGAACCAATGGGGAGCCACTTCAACCACCACCACTGTGCAGCACCCACCAATATGATGTGACAGCTGCCATTCTGCACCAGTATGCTAACCAGACAGTAGGTAAGGTGGTGAAGTGACAGGAGAGAATTCACCAATTAGGTATAGGGATGATTAGGAGGGCAGATCTGAAAGGGCCACTGGGGACAATTTTAGTCAGGAAATCAGGGTACCACTCCAACTCTTTCAAAGGATACCCAGAGATCTTTTGTGCACCAAACAATTGCACCAAACCTGCTTAGCTTCAGATGGATTACTTAATCTGAACAGCAGGTGGCAAGGCTGCTGACAGCACTTATACACCCAACCCACCGCTGAAATGATGCATCCTCTGTAATGTTTACAAAGTATAACACACGGCATTATTAAGAAGAAAACACTGACACAACAACATATTAATAGCCTAAATATTTTACAAATCTATGCTCCATAGATAACTAATCCCTTTAAATATGGGTGCCTTTCAGGGAGGGTGGTTTACAGCCACTCTCTGAATCAGCCAGACATACAGTATGTCTATTGCTTTTTTCTAGAGGGTACCAACGCCCAAACCACACCCCCATCTGGCAACACATTCCGCCCACTTACCCCCTTGACGCATCACATGTATCGGCTCTCTGCCCAACGCCGGGTTTCCACAATTCATATGCGGCGTCCTCTGAGGATTCCTAAAACGCACTGCAGTGCCTCATAAGCATCAACACCGAGAGGCTCAGGCTTCCCTCTCATTGTGTAATGTCTGACAAGCATATCTGCAGGCGTATGTGGGCGTACCGCTTTACCTGCTACAGGGGTGTGTGTCTGTGTGTGGCGGGAGGGGGACCCCACTTACATCATTGTTATATATTTTAAGCCGTATTTGTATAAACACATACACCAAATGTATTTTTCTTGAAGACTGGGGACCAGTAGGTTGCTAAGCACCCATTCTAAACCCTATTCTGGTCTACCCTGCATGTTTAAAAGTACTTGTGAAATTACAGACATTATAATATGTGCTTATGTGAGAAATAAAAATACAGTCACAGAAAAAAATTAAGAGACCACTCTATATTTTTAAACAAATTTGCATTTTTAAATCCTGGTTTAATCCTGGTCCTGCTGGCAGAAGGCTATGCTGAGCAGCAGGTTGCTTCCAGGTTCAAAATTTGTAAGACAGCAGTACACAAGAACAAGGTGAAGCAGAAGACACTGGGAATAACCGGAAACCAGCCGGGTAAAGGGCGGAAGCGAAATTCTAATCCCAGAGATGACCATTGACTTCTCCGGCAGTGCCTCATTAATCTGTGGAAGACATCAGGTAGGGCTGCACGATTTGGGGAAAATATCGAATCGTGATTTTTCTGACAGAAATTGCGATTACGATTTGATTTGCGATTACATTTTTTTATGTCAAGCTTCAGTTCAATATTCAGTGTGTAGTAATTTTAAAACATATGACACAGCATGAGATACCATCAGTATTAACTGGTCTATATTCTAATGCAAGGATGAGAATTTAAAGATGTGATGTGTCAAGTTAAATAAAGTAATAATGAAAACAATTGCAGCAAAAAGAAAAATAGCGATCTTGCAGGTAACGCGTATTACCCTCCTAATAACACTAGAACCGCCTTTTCCCACGCCAATGAACAAGCAAGAACTACTTTGGTGTATGCAGCCCTTTTGTTTGCGCTATTTTGTTGTTAGCTGCTGTTATTAACATTAATAACACTCAAAAAACCGAAATGTTCATAACAGAGTGGCTGTTCGGTCCTGAAACCGTAAAGCTGGAAATTTTTAAACGTAATATGCATTTTATAAAATGTTGAATAAATAGAAATTGTTTATTGGTGATTTCATGTTGCTCGAAGATTCCGCTTTTTAACAACTGTATACGGTTATTTTCTATACAAATCAATTCAGGTGAAACAAAAAATGTACGTATTCATGGTTGCAAACTCTTTCAGACTCTCACACAAGAAATCTTACGGCAAATCTATATTCCATTCTGAACTTAAAATTAGCTGCATCAAAAACGTTACGGCAGTTTGCAAACCCTACAGACTATTTGCAAGGTAATAAAACTGACATACATGAAAATCTCACTCCATGCAGCTGACCAAAGTTGCCAACCCTGCATTTTATTTTAATTGAGAAGTAAAATGCAGTTTTCGACTGAAGCAGCTTATCATTCTTTTGCTTTGTTCCTCGGACAAATATAATTATTAAACATTATATGTGTCTCTTTTTGTATGTTTTCTCAATAAGACCGCGTGCCCATACCCAATTAACTGTAATAGCGATTAAAGCGATGTATTCTTTTAGTATTTATGTTAAAGCAAGACTTTTATTTTATTATTGTTGTGGGATTAATCTTTGGAAACACTGAAATTTAATAAGCACAAAAACGTATATGACATAAACACGACTGTATTGTATGTTTTATGGCTTTTTTAGGGGTCACCGACTCCGCTGCTGTGAGAATTACTGTCTCATTGTTGTTCTGATGTGTTAGCGGTATACTAATGCTATTGCTTATTAACAAAAACCAAAGGTATGATACGCTGAAGTAGGCCTATATTGCAGCTGGTGTTTAAAATGAGCTCGCCTGTTTTATTGATGATAGGACCTTTCTGAAACAATCTCGGACCATGAAATAGGAAGGCAATTCACTTATAGCTCAGTAGCGGAATCAGTATTTTTCCGCAACGCAAATGTAACATTTTCCTTGGGTTTCACATGTTTGCTGTTTGTGGGCCTATACACCTTCTTGGGCCACTTCTGATTGGTGAGCATGACTGGCACGCAAGAAGCACGGCGCTTGTGATTGGTGATGACAGGGAGCGCGGCATGAATTTGTAAAACTGTTCTCACAGCAGTTTTAAAGCCTGGGTCCGACGTGCTGTATAATGTATATCCTAAATCGCAATTTTTGCGACTTGCTAATCGCGTTGTTTCAAATCGCGATTTCGATTTGAAATCGATAAATCGTCCAGCCCTAACATCAGGTGACCATCAAAAAGAATGGGAAACATTAAGTGCAGGTATGAAGTGCACTACTATGACAGTTCATATCAGGCTCCTAGAAGCAGGACTGAAGTCCCATAAAGCAACGAAGAAGTCCTTCATTAATGAGAAGCAGAGAGAGCCAGGCTCGAGTTTGCAAAAAAAAAATTTATGTTTTACACAGACACATACCCCTAAATTGAGTGAAACTGAAAAAAATGTGCTGTGGTCTATTAATTTTTTCTGCAGCTGTATATTTACTTTAAGGTATATCTATATATAGAACAACAAACAAAAATTGTATATTTTATCCATTAAATACCTATCAGGGGAGAATTTTAGGATCCTTCGCGAAACCACAGCTATTCTTGTCATAAATATGCAAACACTGGTATCCCTGACAGTGGACCGACCAGCAAAAGCCTGGCTTCGACTCTTAAGAGGCTCACAGGGCTGATCTCTCCAAACGTGCCACAGATTGCCTGGACCCTCCCTGGCCCCCACCCGCTCATATTCAGAGCGAGCCTTCCAGTGGACCGCGGCCAGGGCTTCTGGAGACCTGGCAGGAGGGGAACACACCCCCGCAGCCAGGCGAGGCGTCACGTGACCCAATGGGAGGAGTTTTCTCCCAGCCACCACTGGGAGGTTGACACCAGTGCTGCGCAGCAGAATGCCAGCGTGCTGATGCTGGGTTAACCCTCGCACACGCATCCGTGACCACGGTTATCGTCCCCATGCAGCTGCCGAAAGGAAAGCAGGAGGACCCGTTTCTCACACCATGAGCCATTTTACTTTGTCTTTCCTGCTTTTTTTGGCGTGTTCTTTACAAACACAGAAGGCCCGTTTGGCTCAGCCTCAGCGGAACACGCCGGCCCTGACCACCACTCTCTTGGCACTGGGAACATTTTTGGGCAGTAAGGGTCTCCGACTGTCCCAGACGCGGTGATGTCTGCCCCCCCCCCTCCACGCTCCTGTGAACGATTGCTGCCAAGAGCACCACTAGACCTCTCCCCAGCCTGTCCGTCTACAAGAAGGCAAGAAGAGCTCTCCAGCTTCGTCCTACGAAGAAGCTGGCAGAACGAGTGGGACCCTGAAATTGACTGACAGGGGTATTAATAAGCCACTCGCACCTTCTTAAAAATTGGCATGAGACCGCATTCACTCATACACAAGGACTAAATAATTAGCTGCACACTCACAGCTATGGTATGATGAAAAATTAAAGGAACTCTAAAGGACTAAAGGAAGAAAAATTCGAATGGTTTCAATATCTTAGTGTAGCATGAACTACTGCATTCAAATCTAAGTTAATGCCAGAGCATTGCACTTCATATTGCACTCATCTAACTTTTAGCACTGCCTATAGTCTCCCTTACTTTGACTAATTGCATTTATTTCCACCATCTTCTCCTGGGGGGTGCTGCCTGGAGCCCTCAATCTATCAAGATGTCCAGCACACCCTGCAACATGCGACGTCGCCACTACCAATGACGACCGTGCATCCAGCTCGCCGTTCTACCTGTGTCATCTTCCTTGTTTGACCCGCTCCCTGCCTTCTGGCTGCCTGGCGATTGGAGGGAGTGGTGGCACCGGCTTGTCATCTCCCCCCTGCTCCCCGTTTGTGTTTCAGATTTAACTGTATTTGACTCTCCCTGCCGGCCCCTGGAGGATGGGCTCCCCCTTTGAGTCTGGTCCCTCCCAAGGTTTCTTCCTTCTAGGGAGTTTTTCCTTGCCACTCTCGCCTATGGCTTACTCACTGGGTGCTTTGGGTGGGGATGCTGTAAAGCGCTTTGGGACAATGTAATGTTGTGATAATGCGCTATACAAAAATAAATTTGTTGTTGTTGTTGTTAATGTATAAACATATTTTTTCCTAAAAAAGTTGGACTGATGATGAACTAGTCTGACTATGATCATCATAAAACATGAAATTCATCTGAGGATATTAAACATACATTATGCATCATCACTGCACAAGCAAATGCATCTCACAGAGGCATTTATAGCAGTGAGGGTGACCGTTTTTGCTGGACCCGCTTTCATACAGACTGTGCACATTGATTCCTGTTCATTTAGTCCGGAAGGGAATCAATTGGTCCACTCTTCCTGGAATCTGATTGGCTGCACTGTATATCGGAACATTCCGGCAAACAGACCCTGGGAAATTACCAAACTCCCGGTGAGTCAAAGAATGCGGGAAATGAAGGAACACTTCAGTTATCTCTACCTGCATCAGGGTCTTAACACAGTTACAGTGAATAACTGTCACCTTGCAGTCAGGTGCAGTCATTATGTACAAAACAAAACCCTTTCGGGGGCATAACAAATACAATACCGTTTAAAATTAATTAGTGGCAAAATTTGGGCGACGGATGTTGCTGTTAATCTCCTGTCAGTTCCCTTACACATCTAACATCTATTTTTACATAACAGAACCGATCCCATGACAGCAGCCTTCCGATGAGTCATTGAGCCTCCAGCATAAAGCCGCTATCATGTTAAAGATTCAGGTGTAATAACAGTGGCTGCTTGTCAGCATATATTTGTCTCACTGAGCCAAATTTGTGAATGAATCCCCATGAGAAGAAATCTGTACTAATTTCTTAGCAACACAAACCTGCACTATGGAGTGTTTCCTAACATTTTACCTTCATCATATTTGTGAATTAGACGAGTATTTTTCAGCAATATTTTTAAATGCTTCAGAGGCCGATAACTTTAAAAAGGTAAAACCCCCTGATCTCACCTCCAGAGTTATAAGATTTTCCAAAGTTTAAAAATATGGTCAAAATATTGACTTTCACAGCAAAGAAAAAAAAACACTTTGAAAGAACAGTTCGATCATTGACCTTAATTTATCCAAGTTAACCAATAAGACCACGTCTGTTTATTAAGGCATATACATGGTCACAACCATTGGAAATGAAAACAATGTAACAATGGCCTTTACAATGACAGCAGTGTCGGTACTGTCTCTATGAGCCTTCACACCTTCAGCAATGCAGCAGGAGATGTTGGACGGCAGCTTATAGCTCACTGCAATGTCCCAAGATGTGGGTTGACCTTTCGCAGTCAAGACTGCAAATGATGTTAAGCTTAGTAAAGTATATCACAGTACTTTTAAAACATTCCCTGAAGCTGCAGGAAATGTAATATCCATTACTTTAGACATTTTCTCCGATTGCAGACATGGCTACCGCTGGCTGAACTTCCCTCCCTTAGACGCATGCCCTTGCGGTCCCGACAGTGCACCGCCGTAAATCCGGAGATACGGGAGGACGTAGAAGCGGCGCTGAGGCTTTGGGGCAAGTCATGTGATGTCACGGGGCGCCACAGTTGCAGTGGCCCCGTGACCCTGTGGTGAGTCCATGTCACGAGTCACAGTTTATGAGGCTACAAGTATGTACACGACTGTGCCTTTAAAACAAGCATGACAGATATGGACAGACAGTCTATTGGAGTTGCATTTAGTCCTTTTCAATTGAGCCCACCGTTTTCAAAACTGTGCAGTACAATAACGGCAGCAAACCGAATAGGGCAGGTGGCACCGAATAGGGCAGTGCGTTTCTGTAACAAGTAACACACGGGAACTGAACACTGTCTGTGGGGGGCTTGTGCACATTTCACTTGCTGTCTGTAACCATGTAAGTAGCCTTTTATTGTACAAGTTCACTCCTGAGATACATTCTGGGAAGGTAACACATACTCCTGATTGATGACACAAAGTAACATAAAATACATTTCATTATTTTCAAACGGGAGGTACTTTATTATAATACTGAGACTGATAGTGATACATTTTTCCGAAAGTGCAAAACACGCCAACCCCGGCATCACCTGATCTGGGCAGGAGTGGGTACACACTGATGATGCCATTAGGCTCAGCCCACATTACTTTATTGCGTAGGAATTTCCTTTGTCATCCGTTGCCCCCTTTGGCAGTTTCATCTTCATATTCAAAACAGATCATAATCCTGTTGTTTATTCATTAGCTGAGTCAGCTCGCTGCTTACTAAGAAGCAGGTATCATATATCCAAGATTTCTCTACACATCCTTCTGACAATTATGAGAAAGAGGCTGCACCACAGTAATGCCACACATGTAGGTGAGGTCCTGAATTATTGAGTTCAATGAAGATTTTTCATTCAAAAGCCAAAACATCCTTTAAACCAGCGTTCAAATGCATAATGTTTATATCCTGTCATCAGTTTCATGAAATTTACTAAACACAATATTTCACATTTATTCATACATTCCAGGCGCAAACGATGCACTCTTTCAACTGGCCATGGAGAACTTTAGTTTCGATTCTTGCGGGAGTTGAAGATCTTCAGCTCCTGGGAACATCTTTGTCTGAGATCACGCCCACTGCAACACGAACCTCAGCATGTGGGAGTGATGGTACACTACCAGATTGTTCTTCCAGTGGAAGAACACTACTCATGCATCCCTCCAAGAATAAAGACTGCGAGGGTAAATATAACAGACCATCCAGATCGTTTCATTGATTATTCTATGCATTAGTGAGTAATTGTCTACATTAACCTCTTCAACTAATGACTACGAGCCAGGCCTGAGTAAAGACAGGGAAGAACACCAATCCGTAATCCTCACGCAATTATGTGACAATTGTTACATGATATATTTTTATCACAATTGAATTGGGGACACAAGAAGATTTGTAGGCCCTCGTGAGAAAACGTACAAAAATACTTTAAGAAGTAACTCAAGCAGTAGTGAAATAATACTCATCAGAAGATACTGTGAAAAAAACACGTAACACTTCTGCACTTATGTGGGTGTTCAAATGTGTGCATCTTTGACAAAAGGACATAAGAGCTTCTTTCCCTTCCATGACTGCAAAGGCCTAGGCAGCCCAAAGCAGCATGTCGTCTTCACCCAGGACCCTCAGGCACACGGCAGTGTGACCCTGATGTCCTGCGGGCATTCATTTCTGAACCTCCATTTAGTGGGGTTCTCGCCGTGAGATATAGAGCATTTCCCTCTGGTGATCACAGATAACTCTAGGCAGGGGCATTCAAACCCACATGCCCTTACTAACAGTCTGGCCAAAGGCGTTTTCCTTAAACTATGGTCTTCTCCTCTCAAAGTTTTCCCACATGAAATGTCAGCCTACAACTACGCTGTTGTCTGGTCTATGAATCAGCCTTTTTCTTGGCTTAAAAATCAGCCAAATCTTATAAAATATCAACTGCAGACTGTACATAAACACAGATTGAGGGAATGGTAATCTCTTGCTCAGTCCTCCTCAGAATGACCACACTCGGATTAGTTTGGCTAACCCTTTAGTTAAGTGTCAACGGCCGGGCATAGGCAACGACAGAAACTAATTACCCGTAGTTTCTTTATCCCGTCTGAAATGGTAAGGTACTGCTAAAGTGAAGAACAAACAATAGGACTCCTCTGATCATTGTGAGGACACAGCGAGGAATGGGATTAGCCAAAAATCAAAGAAAGTCTGCTCTAGCTGCTCACAGAATAACTCAAGAATTAGCCAAGGTTTCCGAGCCGCTAAGCAGGCGGACGGGCCCCATCCCCTTCTCATGTGCTTAACTCACTTTCATCCAAAATTGCTTAATTCTATGTGATTCACGTCAAGTGGGCTAGTCACATCAAGTGGGCTACAGGTCAAGAACATGCCCCCCCCCCTTCAGAAACCCAGAGCTGCTGAGGAGGCCCTATACCTTCCATAAAGAGTATCATCACCATTCTACCAACAGGTGGAAGATTTGCCTGCGGATAGGTGCCACGGGTCAGGACAGAAGAAGAGCGGACAGGCCTTGTGCGATTAACGGGTCTGTCACTTACGCGTTGCAGTAGGGCTTCTTCTCGTAGCCTTTGTAGTTCTTCATGTTCAGCGTCATCTTGCACACCTCACAGTGGAAGCATCCCTTGTGCCAGTACTGTGAGGATCATACACAGACATAGACAGACACACACACACAGACACACACACACAAAGACCCCTGTTAATGATTCTCTCACCAGACATTCCTCGCATCCCTGCACATCCAAATGGAGTTAATTAGTTTGGAAGACAGGGAATTCGGGAATCTCACATGACAGGCTACTTGAAGTGGGCAGTGTCTGGGTGATCGCTCATCAACCTGCAACGAAAACACCGACCCAGCAGGAGGTACATTTACCTACAGCTAGTGTACGACTGGCAGACCCATGAGGGTACAACCCCAGTGACAAGTAACTGTACCCTCAAAGGTACTTTTTTCCTGACTCTGTAGGTTCTCAAACTGAGAGCATAGTTGTTTAAACATCTAAGCCAAACAAATCATTCAGAGTTTCAGCCCCAAACGCCCCAGACTTGTGACGCCGCTACTCTCAACAGAAACAGGAACTTGGCTCGAACCGTTAACTGACCTATAACTCTCTTGTCTGGGATTTGGGATAAAAATGCTGCCCTTTTTTGGATTCTTTCAGAAGCCCCCGTGACTTCAGCATTGAGTTGGTCTCCTCCAGTAAGGAAGACCTGACCAAAGCAGAACACAGAGGGTTGGGTCACAGGTATGGCGAACTGCTGACTCACTCAATGGCAGTCCCCAGTAACAAGTTCCACTCCTTCCAGGGAGACTCCAGTCTAAAGTTACTTCCAGTTTCCTGTTCAGGGGTGTTCCAACCATTCTCTCTGCTTTCCTGCATGTGACCCCTGGTCTGAGCTAATGGCTTCCACCATCATTGTGTCACCATTTCCCTCTGGATTTTCAGAATGCGTTTTATTCAGCCCACTACGGAGCATAGTGGCTTTACAGGGCAAAAAAAAAACACAGTGGGAGGGTTTTGGCCCGAGTTAGGAAGTTTACTGGGTGGTTGCAATTTTCTCCTGTGGCAGGGGGTGGAAGTGGAGGGGGGAGGTTTCGGAAAGGGGGGGGGGGGACAGTCACTGGTGTGTAATCATAGATCTCTCAGGACATGAGGGCCCAGGATACATCCAAAAGAATAGCTCTGGATATAATTTTTCAAATTACTTTAAATAGGAAATTTGCACTGACAGATGAAACTTGCTATGCGTAATAATATTGTCTTTATCAAATAGTCCGAACTGTCCTTTTTCTCGAGATAACTGAAACATTATCGGTCAAATTCTGAAATACATCCACTCTTTCAATAAACATCGCATCCTTTCTTCAAGTAAAACTCTCGAGTGAAACTTTATTCTCTTTAAAGCGTAAATAAAGCACACGTCATCTTACATAACGTTTTATTATGGGATTTTAGACTGCGTGACATGCCCAAGCCACCAGCCAAATACCGGTTTCGTGAAACTGTATCTGGAACTGCTCTAAGATATTCGAATGCAAATGTTATTATTTTTCCTGTTTAATAACAATGCGAGGTAAGACTGAGTAATGCAAGCTATCATACCAGTCCGATCGCTCGCTTAAAGGCAAGTGTGTTGCGTCACAGCCGCCCCGAATTAATGCGCATATCATTTGAACTAGTACGTAGAACGCAACTACAAGGTAAACAAACGGTTACCGAGATAAGCAATGCTTTCGTGTTTATCGGCATGCCTAGTCCAAACGCATCCCAAGTTTTACAGCCCTGCCTAGGTGGTTTTAGCGTAGTTTAACACTTCCTCCGACTAATAGCATGTCGCGGGATACATTTACTTGCTCCAGATATTAAACTCGTCATTGCAATAATAAACAAAAAAGCATAAAGAAAACAAAAAGCGGACATATTCGCTTACCTTATCCAGGCAATTCACTTTCTCAGTAGGATATACGATTTTCCCACAGCGTGCACATTGAGGGTTCATTTTGATCCTGGGAAGCTGAAGGTTTTAGTCTGAAGGAGCCAATTACAGTGTAAACTGCTCACTCGTACCCGTGGCTCGCCTCACATTTCCAGGTTAAAGGGCTGAAAAAGACGCAACAGTGGAGCATCGGCGCCGTCCCAGAAGCGGTGTTGCCTCTACTGCGACTCGGAGAGTCTCTCTCGCTCAGATGCGGTCAGGGCGCGCACACAGGCGGCGGGCGCAGGTTGCTTCGCGGGTGTGAAAGGACAGCTCCGGTGCTACCGGACTATGAGACGCCACAGTGCCAAGCCAAACCCATCCGTTTCTTTTTTGCACTGTGCAAGGTGATAGAGAGAGAGAGGGGGAGGGAGGGTAAGAAAGAGGGAAGCTTGGCATGTATTGGATGAGGGAACGTAAGTACCTTACCCAATGCCCTGCGCTGTTTTGCATGAATCGCTCGAATAATAATGTTTTATTATAATGAATTATGAACGATACAAACGATTTATGCGCGTCATTTTGACGCTACTGGTTGAATCTTACATTCACCCCTTGAATCGCGCTGTAATACGTTTAATTATCCGTGTGCAGGTTTACGTTACGTTATTCCTATCCGTTTAACGTCACCTGCCGATCTGCTCCGGTCTATCGGGGGACGCGCCGAAAAGCCTGCGCGTTTTTGGATCGTGGTCGCTTGGTGAAAACCAGAGACATAAAATCCAAGAGTGTCATCTGTGTTTGCACATGGCCCTCCAGATGGCAGTATGACTTTGATCTATTCCCCTGTCTGATTACTGAAATGCAGTAATTCAATTGTTACTATTACCTATAAGGTCAATATCCTGAACTATTTTCTCACTTAGATCTGCAGGCATGACGCCAGTTATTTGATCTGTTGATGTGCGGTATTAGGATCAGAATGTAAGATGAATCGAAGTACATTAAAATAAGAGTATTATTCTGGTCTTAAAAGCATTTCTCATAGAATGCCCCAGACAGTAAGGTGTGAAGGAGTGTGGAGATTAGTGACCGGCACTGCCAATGTTCTGTTCTGAATGCATTACCAAGGAAGCATCTTCAAACATCCCCATTTCCCTTTGTTGTGTGATATGTAGCTTGTTTGCTGAACTATTGGAAGGGAGTCAGGAAACGATCCGGTCACCCATTTGCCTTAATAAATCCTCCGCTGTGCCAAGTCAAGGCCATCTTCCTCATCTAAGTGATGTGTGACCCGTCCACCTGGCCCTCTGGTCTCAAGTGAATGCTGGCCGTAAGCCCAGTAACCAGCGCACACGTGTGCGCACGCAGCGTCACATCGTATTATGCAAGTCAAGTAAACAGATCCGATATCGAAGCAGGGGGTCCAGTGAGTACTGCTATGGATTAATCCATGAACCTCGAGAAGGCCTCCGACAAATCCTCAGTGAGCTAATAAGTTTAAAAGGAAAAAACTTTTTATTTTATGTCTCTGAGCAGCGTATTCGATGACTTATGAATCTAAATTCATATTCAGACGTACAAATGGCTCCATCTGCTGGACAATTTGGAATCTTCACCTCGTTTTTTTCAAATGCGCCCATAACATATCAAACGGTACTTGCATGGTGTCACGTCCGGCTCGTCCAATCCTCGTGTGTGTCACGCCCCCTCATTACCCACGTGTACTACCCTGATTGTTCCCAGCTGTTTGATGTTAGTTTTGACCTGTTTAGTGTATATCAGTCCACGTCTACCTCTGTTTTCCAGATCAGTCATTGTATGTGTTATGGTTGTTCGTGCTGGTGATTCCGCTGTCTGCCTGTTTACCCTGGAATAAACCCCGTCGTACCTTTATCTACGCCTTCGCTCCCTTGTTTGCCTGCTCGCCGCCAGCCGTTCCTGACACATGGATGTTCTTAAAAAGTGAAATGGTTTTTATTAAATGAAACTTTAAGAAGAGCAGTGACTTAGCTACCGCAGCAAACTCGCCATTGCTAGAATATTTGGGGATAAGAATGGATATATGTCACTATCATATCAAGTTTATTAAAGAAAATATGCAATACTGTACTTGCGTGGGCAAAATTATGGAAACACCTGGCATTATGCTTTAAATGTTTACAAATATAATACACCGGGCGATTAAATAAGTAACTGAAGTAACTAGAATAAAGTTCTGAAATGTCTAAAAAGTTGGAAGTGTTTCCAGAATTTTTTACTTATAATTTGTATTATTCTTAGCTTGTTTTCTATGCTGTCTGTGATTGGCTAGAAGCAGATAGAACATAATTTTATGGATGGATGGATGCTTACTATGTGCACATGCTCAATGTTCCTGATGAAAATCACATAAATAAATTGACTATAAAATAAGTTTAAAATTAAGTTGTAAGAATCCATCAGTCAGATCCTTTATTTTTGTATTTTTCTTTCAAAAGTGTTGCTGTAATAGGCAGAATAACGACTCGACCCCCGGTCACTGATGGAGGACTGTGGACTGTTTCTGTGTTTCCCAAAGTGTTGTTCCGAGATTGTTTTCCTGAGAGTGTGAGTCTGCCAGGGATAAACCGGGCCTGGGGCCAGCGAAGGGGCACATCTGTGCCCCTCTGTGTTTGGCCTGGCTTGTGGAGGCTGGCCAGAGTCTTGCCAGGGTCGGTGTTTACAAAGGCGGCTTCCTGCCACCCTCCTACTGGGCCTGCGAGTCGGAGCTGGTCTCTAATGGGGGGGAGCAGAGCCTCCATGACCTGGTCACGTGCGGTAACCATGGTAAATACTTACCCAGTGGTTAGTTCCCTGACGCCGGTCCAGAAATGCGCACGGCCATTTGTCACTCGTAAAGTCATGCTTGCCGTGAGCGAAAGAGTGATTGATGCAGCGGGACAAAGCACTCTGTCGACGGGAGCGGACTTGGGCGCAGGGCGGGCAGCAACTGATGGTGACAGCCATGTGCAACGATCTCAGTGTTTCCCACTGCTCAGTGCTGCCCCCTGTCCCTGAATGTGAGGAGCGCGAGTGCGGAGGGTATGGAGGGGTGTAGGGATTTTCACGGCCTACCCTCTCAGAAAAAAGGGCAAAATTTTGTACCTTTGCTTGTCACTGGGGCTGAACCCTCAAGGGTCTCCCAAATGTACCCTTAGCTGAAAGTAACTGTACCTTTTAAGGAACATTTCTGTACCATTGATGGTACATTAATGCTGTTTATACCTTTTGGATTTTCTCAGAGTCCATTTCTGTACCATTAAAGGTACAATTACAAGGGTACAGCCCCAGTGACAAGCAAAGGTACAAATTTGTACCTTTTTTCTGAGAGTGTAAGAACTGTTGAATCCCAACAAAGTCAGAGGGCATCCTGTTAGGAAGATGACATTTACAGCGGAGTTTCAGTTCGGAGAGCAGGAGGCAAGTACAGCCACCTGCTCCTTTGAAAGGCTGCGTGAGTTGAATCGTTTCCAGCTTTACTTGTATGTGGAGCACTACCTTAGGTTATGGGGACGGGGCATGCCCTCATTAACGCCCGCAGAATAAACGAGGCTCCGGAACCGAAGGTGAGCAGCTCTGGCAGGAGCCATTGATGGCAGCCTGGTTTAATCCCACTCACATACCCTCAGAATCTGACAGAAAATAGTGTCAGGTTTTAACCCTCCAGTCTGAGGAAGATTCTGCTATAACCATACTGGATGGCAGGCGTTGCCGTGGCGATTTACAGGCCAGGACCCATGCGTAGAAATCCACTCCCCGGGGCTTGAGTTGGCGATGCTTCGGATCCCACTGATCCACTGATTCTTCTCGTTCCGTTTCCCAGCATCCCTCACATGATTCCCCACAAGGCTGTAGCTAAGATCTCTATTATCTCACAGCCACCGCGAGTGAGCTCAGCATACAGCATTACAGACTTAGCGGGGCTTCTCTCCTCCAAGTCCACGTTCAGGCAATCTACAGCCTTGGGCCCACCTACTGGGAATGCCATATACCCCCCACTAAGGCAGTATTCACTATAGTTCATTGAATCCATGTAGATGACAAAGAAGAATTGAGTCACCTTGCAACAGATCCTTTTTTTTTGCTTGAGTAATAATGCTTGTTCACTGCTGTAATGGCTTTTTCAGTTTCACTAAAACCTCACATGTACAACACTAATTATGAGCAATGCATTCAATGTGATATTTTACAGTGAGATTCAAGTGTATTTTGTGATATTTGAACATGAACAAGATGACGTGTTTCTATATATTGTGCTGCAGGAAAACGCTTAGAAACACTTTAATTCTGTTTCATGAATTTAGTTTTTACCATCGTTTTTTACTTCTCTGATACATAGCATCCTAATATGTGGACAATTCTGTGGGGTTTGGGTAAAATCGATATTTCTAAAAATGTTTTTAATAATTCATGCATCAAAGGATTAAAATTACATGATGCATTTCCACTCAGAAATAACCTGAAATTAAATATGACTTTTTTTCTCAGATTGATTTCAAATAGAGTAAAAATGTTTATTTTCCCCTATGCGTATATCCAAATATTTTTAACAGTGAAACAGCAATTCACAATGCTGGAGTTCAAACAGAAGAATATATCTATATATTGTGAAATCCGGATTCAGTCATTCCGGAAATGATGATTAACAGTACCTAAATAATGTGCTTGAACCAAATGTGCTGGTTTCCTGGGACTATGCTGTTAAACCATTAAACAAGGTGTCTACCTTGAATTGCCCCATTAATACATGCAGTTGTATGGTTGCTTTGGATAAAAACATCAATTAAGCAACTTAAACATGATTTAATTCTATCCGTCCACCCAACTTCCAAACAGTAATCCTGATCAGGGAAACAATTAAATGAATTAATTGTCAGTGAGTATTTGGATATGAAGTCTGTCAATATATTTCAATATATTTTCTAACATATGGGAGGTACGTTATGTGTTACGTTTATATGGGTGTGTATGCACTGTGTATCAGTGATTTAATGGACTACCTGGCTGTTCGTTTAGTTGTTGCTCAGGGATTTGCAGTGTGTGTGTGTGTGTGTGTGTGTGTG